TCGCACATAAATGATGCGTATTAAGAGAGCATGTCTGAGAAAACCAGAACATATGTGCAAGTCGATCTCTCAGATTTCGCTCAAATTTTGCAGGTAGATTTGCTTTGGGGTGTAGATCGATATTCCTAAGCCCGCACAAAATCTTTTGAAGGGAACCATGAAATTGGCATACCCTCAATATTGGCCCATTAGCCCCATCCCTCACACAAACAAGTCAACAAAGAGGCATCTTTGGATTGAGGAGTGCTGGTTTCGAAACAACTGGTTTGAAGCTCAAAGTAGAGCTGCTGTTAGCTCAGAGCAGAGCTGCTGTTAGCTCAGAGCAGAGCTGCTGTTAGCTCAAAGTAGAGCTGCTGTTAGCTCAAAGTAGAGCTGCGGTTAGCTCAAAGTAGAGCTGCTGTTAGCTCAAAGTAGAGCTGCGGTTAGCTCAAAGTAGAGCTGCTGTTAGCTCAAAGTAGAGCTGCTGTTAGCTCAAAGTAGAGCTGCTGTTAGCTCAAAGTAGAGCGCTGTTAGCTCAAGGTAGAGCTGCTGTTAGCTCAAAGTAGAGCTGCTGTTAGCTCAAAGTAGAGCTGCTGTTAGCTCAAAGTAGAGCTGCGGTTAGCTCAAAGTAGAGCTGCGGTTAGCTCAAAGTAGAGCTGCTGTTAGCTCAAAGTAGAGCTGCGGTTAGCTCAAAGTAGAGCTGCTGTTAGCTCAAAGTAGAGCTGCTGTTAGCTCAAAGTAGAGCTGCTGTTAGCTCAAAGCAGAGCTGCTGTTAGCTCAACGTAGAGCTGCAATGCTAAATGGATGTAATATAGCGCAAGGCAGAGCCGCAGCAAATAGCTAGATAACACCAGTTGTGAGAGTGGACCCGATTAGTGGGTACGATAATTATGATGGTGTGAATAAGTTGGTTAGGGAGGGATGGTGGGAAAAGAAACACTGCTGAAGCACGATCCGTTGTCTGGAAGAGCACAACAGGGCAAGCAAGATTTGTTTTTCTTTCCGCAAAATGGGCTGGTGCCATTTGTGATTACGCAGCAAAACAAAGCGCATGACGTCAGTCTTGAATGCAGTACAAAGCAATGCAGTGCAGTGTGTGCGCTAGTTCGGATTGTTGCTAACAAGTACTAGCACAGCTAGTACACCATTAGCCCCATCCCTCACACAAACAAGTCAACAAAGAGGCATCTTTGGATTGAGGAGTGCTGGTTTCGAAACAACTGGTTTGAAGCTCAAAGTAGAGCTGCTGTTAGCTCAGAGCAGAGCTGCTGTTAGCTCAGAGCAGAGCTGCTGTTAGCTCAAAGTAGAGCTGCTGTTAGCTCAAAGTAGAGCTGCGGTTAGCTCAAAGTAGAGCTGCTGTTAGCTCAAAGTAGAGCTGCGGTTAGCTCAAAGTAGAGCTGCTGTTAGCTCAAAGTAGAGCTGCTGTTAGCTCAAAGTAGAGCTGCTGTTAGCTCAAGGTAGAGCTGCTGTTAGCTCAAAGTAGAGCTGCTGTTAGCTCAAAGTAGAGCTGCTGTTAGCTCAAAGTAGAGCTGCGGTTAGCTCAAAGTAGAGCTGCGGTTAGCTCAAAGTAGAGCTGCTGTTAGCTCAAAGTAGAGCTGCGGTTAGCTCAAAGTAGAGCTGCTGTTAGCTCAAAGTAGAGCTGCTGTTAGCTCAAAGTAGAGCTGCTGTTAGCTCAAAGTAGAGCTGCTGTTAGCTCAACGTAGAGCTGCAATGCTAAATGGATGTAATATAGCGCAAGGCAGAGCCGCAGCAAATAGCTAGATAACACCAGTTGTGAGAGTGGACCCATGAAACCAGCACTCCGTTAGCTAAGCACTATTGACGCACAGCAAGGGTCAATTTATGTCAGCACAGGCAAGCATTGCGCAGCTAGAGTTCAGTAGCTCATTACTCACCCGAGTTGGGGATCATGGCATCCATGGCACGGCAGCAAGCCGGGACGATAGCTGGCGCTTAGCGCTTGTTGTAGTCCGGATGTAGCATAGACACGCATCGCTCTTTCCACTGACCTGCCACTCGGAAGAAGGAGTCGGGGCACTAGCCATAGCAGCGGTGGTGGCTGCACCAATGTAGACCGAATGCCCGGAGTAGTTCGACTGGGATGGTACACCGGCCGCAGCGACAAGAGACCATACTGTTACTGTGAATGACTGCCTGGTCAGCTGCTGTCTGTTCGAGAGTACGAACAAGAGTTGCTCTGGTCCCTCGCGACGAGTGACAAATGGGTAGCTAACAATGGCACGGACTGGGCAGTACGGCGGTACAGACGGGCCAATGTCACTAGTAACGCCTTTACCGAATGGGTCCGTCTTGGATGAAAGCAGGAAGAGTTGCAAGCGTCCGTCACCAGGGGAGCTAGTACAGCCCCGTGTGATGCCATTAGTGAATTCAGCACACCGAAGAAATCCAAAGAAGCAGCATGGCGGCTTGGTAGAGCAGCTTGTCATGGCCATTCAGGATACTACTTTTCCGGCGTGCATCCGTCAGGTGTCGTAGGATTGGCATAGTTATAGGAAGGCGAGGGGTGAGTACAGCCGTACCATGGCATCGCTGGATGCCCTTCAACACCCTCTTCAGAAGCCACGCATCTACTAAGGGGCCGGCAAACCCATTCTCAAGGTGGGCTTTATGCACCCCACTCGCATACACAGATACAGTTCAGGGCACGCTGATCATAGTTCATGCATGAATGTGTGTCCAGGAACGATGACTCGGGCAGCAAAAGTGAGCTTCCCCAGGAGGGACTCGAGTTGACGCTGGCCGATGCTGCGCTCGCTGATAGTAGCCATGAGTGGCGCACGGATCTCGGACAGCTTGTCCTCTGGTAGCCGCAGTCTAGGAAAATACCAAGGTCAATGATGGTGATGGCCCTCGAGCTGGGATGGAGCAAAGAGGAGTGCCGAGATACGTGAATGCCCGGAGGGGGGTGGTGAGTTGCTGGTTGGCTGCAGCCAAACCAGTGGAGATATCGAGAAAGTCATCGAGGTAATGAAGCCGGTGATCTATAGCAAACTCGTGCTGCATGATCCAGTTGACTGCTGTGGCTACTGAGTCAAAGACGGCTGGGCTGGAGCGGAGGCCGAAAGGCAGAAAGCGCTCGTAGTAGTAGGAGCCTTCCCAGCGAAGTCCTGACGGCGGACTGGGATCTGCCGAAATGCACTGCGTACATCGAGCTTGGACAAATACACAGGCTGTGGGCATGACATGATGATGTTGATCGCGTTGTCAATGCTCGCGTAGTGCAGAGAGAGCGGCTCGGCAGGAATGCTGTCGTTCGCGCCGGTGCCTTCCGGACTAGACAGATGGTGGATCATTCGCAGCTTGCCGTTCTTTTTGGGGATGGCACCAATACCAGAGCGGCGCATGAACTGAAATGGAGGTGACGGAAATGGGCCTGTGGTCTCGCTGCGGGCGCAGGAAGCAGCTAATTGCTCGGATATAAATGCCGAGTGAGTGAAAGCCAAGGGTAGATTATTAGAGAAAACCGAAATGTCGTGTTGGCCGGCAGATCCAAGAGTAAAGCCACGGCGCAGCCCATGGAGAACATACGCAACGCATTATTGATATGAGTGGTTACGTAACAGGCGGGCAAAGTGGTCAGCTAGCAGTGTGGTGTCTGCAGAGTGTATAGGAAAGAAGCTACGTACCGAGTCAAGCTATTCGGTAGCCATTCTGCTAGGAGCGGCGGGGTGGCCGATTGGCTCCGCGCTGCTGCTGGTTGCACATGATGCATGGGTGGTCCTTGCCACACTGGCTGCAGGTGTGGGAGAAGCGGCACGACGACGAAGAACAGCGACCTCCATTGAAGTTGCGGCAGATTTCTTGGCTGTCGCTGGGATGGTTGCGACCACTGGAGGTAAATGCTGCTGGCTTGGGGACGAAAAGGACACAAACCGCCCCTGGATGGGCCGTCTTACATTGAGCGCATTTTGGGTGTGCATGGCCTGTGACAGCTATCTGCCATAGGTTCACGTCGATGGTGTCCAACCTCTTCGTGCCTGGTTACTGGGCCACGAGCAGCCGCAGCTGGCGGTCGTACTCTAGCCACGCGCTTGGGAAGAACTGGCGGTTAGCAGTCAGGATCAACTGCTGTCACGCAATCAGTTCAGCAGTTCAGCAGTGCGGTGTAGGGCAGCAGCCGTGATAACAGACATGTATGTGGTCCATGCCTCGAGCCGGGTAGTTACATGATTGTATAATTATCGTGAACCTTGCGACGCACCTGCTTCGCGTACGGTCATCCGACTCAACGATATTTAGCTGGCTATCGTTATTCGGGCTGTGCACCAGCCGGAATGTTGGGCTGGAAGTGTGCAAGAATTTCAGGCAACCAACTTGAAAAATCTACGAACTCCCCTCGCAAGATACGTTCTTGCACAGCCTTGGGCACAGCTGGTGCAGGTGGCTGATCGGGTGGGTTACAAGGGCTTGGCCTGGCGTAGTGGCGGCAGCAGCCGCATTGCCTTGGCCTTGGGTGAGGAGCGGCACAATGCTCTCCGATAATAATAAAATGGCGGCCGACAAAGCCGACTACACCTCGTCACGTAGATCTACGGGAGCGCAGATCCCATGTTGAGCCCGCGTCACCTGAGCTGGCGGAGGAGGCATTGGTGCAAGTCGGGCTTCTGGGCTCGCGAGCCGTGTCCGCACTGTCATGTTGCTGGTTCTCCTGGCCGGAGCAGACCTCACTACCAAGGGCTAGTGTGCCAGCAAACGGTCCTGTAAAATACTTTTACTAAGTTTCCTTTCGGATTCAAGCCGCGCTGAGAAGGCTCGCCGCGGGGGCTTGGCAAGGCATTGCCTTGACAGTGTCGACAGTTAGGTCAGACATACTGAAGAAATACAGTGTCGAGGTGACACTCGGGCTGGCAGCAAAGCTACGAAAGGAAAAGAAACACTGCTGAAGCACGATCCGTTGTCTGGAAGAGCACAACAGGGCAAGCAAGATTTGTTTTTCTTTCCGCAAAATGGGCTGGTGCCATTTGTGATTACGCAACAAAACAAAGCGCATGACGTCAGTCTTGAATGCAGTACAAAGCAATGCAGTGCAGTGTGTGCGCTAGTTCGGATTGTTGCTAACAAGTACTACCACAGCTAGTACACCAATATTGGCACGATTTGTGGGTCTACAAACGAGCCACGGCACAGCGTACAAGAACAAGCTACGAACAAAACTCCATCAAGCCATCATTACCTCACCTTAGAAGAGTTCTTGGGGCAGCACCACTTAGCCACGCCAGCATCCCAGAAGACGAGGGAAATCATCCCTTGACGCCACAAATGATCGTCTTGAAAATAGCCAAATTAAAAGCGCTGATAAAACAACGAGCTACGTCTTCAATTAGCAAACACTGTACACCGGCAGATAGTAGAGCACCTCTTCTAGCACTGAGGACATGTCCCCCATCATCCTTTTGGGGGTTTTCTTGAAATAAACAAGTTTGAATTTTTCCACTCGACCATTCTGAAATACGTCCAAACTCATACCTGCGCAGGAAAGCTCGCCCTTCCGCGACGTCTAGTCAGCAATTTCTACTCCAACACCACCCCCAACGCTGCAGAACAAAGTGTATTGTTGACTCTCACAAGGAAAAGCAGCGGCGATCACTTGTCACTCCAAACGACAAGGAGTACTTGTACTGTACTGTACTGTCGCCTTGTACACGATGCATAGTACTTGGAGGTCCCCGTCCAGTGAGCAGATGCTTTTTTCGGCAGCTACATCGTTTGTCAGGGACGCTCTTGTCCTGTGTTTGTCTCTTCCTTTGAACATGGATATTATGGCACGAAAGATGATGCAACAGTGAAGAAATTTTCTGCTCTGAACGTAGGAGCTCCTGCTTCCTGCCGACTGACTAGACATTTGACCGGCTCACGACTGCGTCTGGAGCACACTAGAAACCCATCGTGCTCTATACCCGGCTTACAATTCGGCGACCCGGGATGCAGACAAAATGGTCAATATCAACACAATATCGGAGCTGGTCTCGAATTGTAGACACAAAAACAAGTTTTACTTGTCTAAAAAATTCACCATCAGTTACATGATTGGCTTTTCAACATGGCGCTACCTGTACCAGGTTTGGCGTCACGGTGCTTTCTCTCTCCCTCTTCACGCCTGATACAGTATGTCATTGCGGTACTGTCGCAATCGCCCTCGATTACTCAGTGACACTGCCCTGTTATCGCCTCTATTCTCATCATTATTCGTTAACTGTCATAAATAATTCAACAGCACTTTCCCATAGACACATCTACACTTCACACATACAGACTTTATTCCACACTAGCACAAAATAGCTAGACCTGCTCGTCGAGGATTCGATTGTAAATGCTGCTATCTGATGATTGCTGAAATGCGTGAAATGTAAAGTTACATCTGCACAGCCTTTCGCCTCTGTCGTGCGTTGAGTTCTCCACCTGGAGCAGCCTATATTGGCCTTTTTTGTACATGCATATAAGCATGACTCAAGTGTCGAGCAGTCTTGTCTACTAAGGGTTTGCATTCATGAACATATAAGAGCGCTCTGATCTTACAAGCATCATTAGTTTAGACGCAAGTACAGTGAAGCTTTCAGGTGTGAGTGAAATGGTGTATTAAATTGCCACCTCGTTACATTCGGAAACCTACCATTCGCCAACACCGAAGAACACTATCCCGTGCCCTATTTCTCTTTCAAATATATTTAGGTATATCCGCGGTCTTCATTTTTGGGAATTGTTGTTTAAAGAGTAAATGGAATGTCTAATTTAATCAGAGGAGTAGCCCGTACCGATCTAGATCAGTGTGATGATATTGGAACTATATCATTTGGTGCCATTAAATATCCCTTTACATATACATATACAGTAACTATAACCTTCACATCCTCATATTTACACCTGTCCATATATGACATTAGAAAAGCATGCTGCGTACTACTTCCCGTACTACCGGTACATTTTCTAGTACTCACATATTGTACAACTTTACACACCAAGATAAAATAACAAGGATGACAGCCCTTCAGGGTTAGTTGTCGGTTAGCCGGACAAGAGTGGGTTGTTGGTGTGTCCTCCCCTAGGCCCTTCACATGGTCACATGGTGTCAGAAGTGGTCCAGTCACTGTGTGTCAGTACTGCGTACCTCCGTGGTTGCTGAAAGTTTGCGTATTTTTATTTATAGTTTTTCGTTTTTTCGAGTTCGTGGGGCCGCAAGTGAGCTAGCCATGGATCTCGAGTCGTTGGCGTTTGCTCGCCACGAGCAGTTGAGGGACATCTGCCGGGGGCTGCATCTCCCCACCGGTGGTGCACGATCTGATCTTGTGCGGCGGATCCTCTCAGTATGGTTGGTTGGTTGGTATATTTTATTTTACTTCGCCAGAATGAACAGGCATTGCTGCCTTCTTTCCTGGACAAGTGGATTGTCCAAGCTCTCACAAAAAGACGAAGAAAGGAAAGAAATATTACATGAGAGTGTGAAGCATGCAATCTTATAAAATAAAAAATAAAATAAAAATTTCCATGAGAGTGTGACGCATGCATGATGAGAGAGGAGAGATAGATATAGATAGAGAGAGAAAGAGAGAGAGAGAGACTGCTTTATTGCCTGGACAAGTGAACTGTCCAAGCTCTTACAAAATGACCAACAACAACAGCAACGGCAACAACAACAGCGACAGCGACAACAACAACAGACCAACAGCAACACCACAGCAGCAGCAACAACAACAACAAGAGAGAGAGAGAGAGAAAGAGAGAGAGAGAGAGAGAGAGAGAAGAGAGAGAGAGAGAGAGAGAGAGAGAGAGAGAGAGAGAGAGAGAGAGAGAGAGAGAGAGAGAGAGAGAGAGAGAGAGAGAGAGAGAGAGAGAGAGAGAGAGAGAGAGAGAGAGAGAGAGAGAGAGAGAGAGAGGAGAGAGACGCTTTACTACCTGGACAGGGAATTGTACAAGCTGTCACAAAATGACCAACATCAACAACAACAACAACAACAACAACAACAACAACAACAACAACAACAACAACAACAACAACAACAACAACAACAACAACAACAACAACAACAACAACAACAACAACAACAACAACAACAACAACAACAACAACAACAACAACAACAACAACAACAACAACAACAACAACAACAACAACAACAACAACAACAACAACAACAACAACAACAACAACAACAACAACAACAATAACAATAACAACAACAGAGAGAGATAGATAGATAGATAGAGGGAGAGAGAGAGAGAGAGAGAGAGAGAGTGTGTGTGTGTCAGAAACAGAGAGAGAGAGGGGGGGGGGGGAGGAGGAGAGATATGCGGATTGTTAAAATGGATTTCGACATGAAGTTAGGTACAGAGAAAATTAATATGGGTAAAGGCTGGGCAAGTCGAGAGCCGTGGCTAGAGCTTTAAATGTCTGCCAATCACCTTCCGTACGGACTGCAACTGGGAGAGCATTCCACAGAATGCTGCTAACAAACTGAATTGAACGACGTCCAGCAGGACCAGGGAGGAACGGAACTCTCAGCAGGCTTGACCCCGTGTCGTCCTCAGCTGAGGTGTGGCAGGGTCGTTGATCGGCACGAACAGATTCTTTAACAGGGGACTTGTCTTGTCATTTAAACATTTGAAAACGAAGATGGCAAGCTTCTGGAAGAGAAGCTGTGGCAAGCTTGGCACACCCAGTAGCTCGAGAAGGGGGGCAGTCGGGACCAGAGTCCTTTGCTGCAGGGTCGCTCTGACACCGGATTTTGACAGGCGGTGGAGTTTATCCAGGAGCTGCTTGGAAAGACTGGAGAAGAAACAGTTGGATCCGTAGGACAGATGAGCCTGTATCATGCTGACATACCAGACTTGGCGTGCTCTTAGGCTCAGGGACCTGCCGTGTCGCCATAGCTGTCCAATTACTGGCCCGATCTTGCGTGTTACATGGCTGATATGTGGCTGCCAGGAGAGGTCATTGTCGATTACAACACCCAGGTATTTCGCAGATGTTGTTGATTCCAGGGATTGTCCTCGACAACGTACGTGTTCTTGAACATCAGCACCGCCTCTTGGCTTTACAAACAGAACTTGGGTTTTCTGGGCATTCAGAAGTAGGCCGATGTCATCTAGCCACTTGGCGAGGTTGGTCACTGCAGACGACAGAGACTCGCAGACTTGCTTGGGACACGCGTTGGAGCAATCGAGAGCGATGTCATCAGCGAATTCCTGATCTGCCACATCCGGAGGCATCGTTGACTTGACGTCAGCAGTGTAAATTACAAACAGGAGTGGGCCTAAGACACTGCCCTGCGGAACACCGCGAGAGCAAGGAACAGTCCCTGACAACTGATCCTGCAATTTGATCTGCTGTGTCCGGCCAGACAGGTAACTACAGAACCAGTTGAGTGCAGTTCCCGAGATGCCTAGCTTAAACAGTTCGGTAACGAGTCGCTCATGCCTGACGCGGAAAAGGCCTTTGACATGTCGACAAACACGATGCCGGTATACTTGCGCTCTGCCCGTGCCATTTGCCATCGATCAACAGCATACGTTAAGGCATCTTCTGTGGAGTGAAGCTTTCGGTAGGCGAACTGAGTAGGCGGAAGAAGTTGCTTGGAGTCCAAGTACTGCGTGATCTGATTTTTTACAAATGCTTCTGTGATGCGGGAGATAACTGGGAGCAGTGACACAGGGCGGTAGTTCTTTGGCAAAGTTGGGTCTCCACTCTTGAAGAGCGGACTGACGTGGGACAACTTGAAGGACAGGGGGAACTCACCGGAGGACAGGGATATATTAATGATGCGTGTAAGTGTGGGGGCAATGGTTGGATAACACTTTTGCAGGATGATGCTTGGAACTTGGTCACTGCCTGTTGCCTTGAAAGGGTTGACAGATTTCAAACTGCTTGCCACATCCTCGACTGTCACTACACTGAAGTCGGTAAATGCCCCTTCCGCCATTGGACCAGAGGGAGAACAGAGCTGAGGAGGACGCTGGGGATCATGGACAACGTCACCAAACAGCTTGCTAAGATCCGATATGGGTACTTGAGCAGTGTGCGATTGTTTCTTCCGGCCAACCACAGTATTGATGACTGACCAAAGTTTACGTTGGTCAGAAGTCTGGCACTGCTGGATGAAATACGTGTTCTTCAGGCTCCTGTCCAGCTTCCTGGCCTTGGCACGAGCAGTGCGGTGTTGACTGCGGAGATCATCACTGCAGCGGTTCTTCATGAGCAGTCGATGGAGTCTGTCTCGCTCCCGTACGCAGGCCACAAGTTCATCTGTTACCCACGGGCAGGGACGTCTATCCCGATTTCGCCTCATCCGCACGGGTGCATGCTTATCCAATGTTGACACTATGGAGGCGATGAAAGATGATGCAAGGGTGTTGACATCATCTATGGCGAGCAGAGAGGCCTGCTCTGCACTGAGATCGCTGTTGAAGGTGTCCCAGTTTATCTTATGGATGCGGCGTGTAGGTCTGTAGCTGGAAGTACGGCCTGGTGCAAACCCTGCCACAGAGAGATTCCCAAGTACTGCAAAGTGGTCACTAATGTCTAGGTAGGCTATCTCACAAGGTCCCGTCAGCGGGGAAGTTGATAGGAAGAGATCAATGATTGACTCAGTAAGGGTGGTGGCACGTGTTGGTGAAGACACATAATTTGTCATACCAAATTTGTTAAACAAGTCAGTTACTCGTATGGCCATGGGTGACTGGTTCATTTTCATAATCAACGTTGAAATCACCCAGCATGACAGTTGCCAGAACCTTCTTTCCTGGTGCATGAACTGATGCGTCTAGGCTGGACTCCAGGGAGGTCCAGAATGCTACAGGTTTGTCTGGTGGACGATAACAGCATCCAACCAGTACTATGCCACCGGAAACGCTAACTTCTATCCACAGCAGCTCTAAGTCAGTCTCCAAGTCAGTGCGTCTTCGCGCAAGAACAGATTCATGGCAGTATATCCCAACACCACCACCACGTTGCTGCAATCTATCCTTCCGATGTAGCTTGAAATGTGGGATAGTAAGTTCACTGTCCAAGATATCTGGAGTGAGCCAAGTCTCAGCCATACCAAAGACATGAATGCCTCTGTTTGACAAGAACTTTTGCACTTCGGCTGTCTTGCGCCTGATACTACATACATTCAAGAAGGCAGTGTGCAGCATGGTCATCAGCAGGCATGGTTGATTTCAGAGCCATCGCTGACTGAGGGCGCGTGCACATTTGTTTCCACTTCCGAAAGGGATGCCGAGTTTGCTTGCGTGTCGTCACATGCTGTGGTTTCTGTGGTATCATCACTGACATCAGAGGCAGAGTACTTGTCGAAATTCCACTGTCTGGAATAGAGTGGTCTGGGCCAGAAGCGACGATCCAACAGCGTCTTGCTGCAAGATGCGTGGACTACCAGTCTCGCAGACGACGACTTTTGCTTCTGAAAAACTTTACAGTCGAGAATTTTAATAGGGGGAGTCTTCAACTCCGACGAGCGACACTCCACGAAGCGTGCTAGCTGCTCCGGTGAGGAATCGCGCAGCAGATTGCCAACAAACACAACACTTTTCTTGACAGGTTTCCTGGCTGTCACCAAACGCCAGGCAGCATCTTCACTGTCGTCATCGACCTCTGGCAAATTGGCCTCACTGACTGCACTGGCTGCATTAGCTGAAGTTTGAATGTTGGTCTTAGTCTTGGAGTTCGAATTACTAGCAGTTTGAACGTTCGACGTGACACCCACGCGTTGGTGATGATCCAGGTCACTGAGGTCATGTCCTGGTACGGTAGGTCCGCTCTCGACTGGAATGTGACAAGTGGCCGCAGCATCCTGCTGGACCGGACCAGATGAAGTCAGTTCTAGTTGTAGATCTACTACGGTATTCGGGTTGGTTTCGGACTCAACGGTTGGGCAGTTAGTAGCATGGCGCCTCTTTCTTTGCGACTTGCTCTGAGCCTGAGAATCTCCAACCGTAATGGCGGAACTTCCTGAACTTGGAATGTTCAGTGCGCTTGATCTGGATAGCTCCTGAACGGTCCTAGATAGCTGGTCGATATGGCTTATCAGCCTTTTCTCACGGTCTGCAGCAGCACTTCTTTCGACATCAAGCATATCCATTATCACCGCCAGAGCGTTGTGGAAATCGCGGCAGCAGTTCGACGTGGGGAAACGATTATCTGGGACATCGCACGGCTGTTCGTGCTCATCGCTCTCTACTGCGGCCATGGTCGTGGAATCCCTGTTTGTAGACATGCTTGCAACAAAAAAAAATCCGGGTCAGAGACCCCCGTATCGCACAGCAGTGCGCGGATGGATCGGGAGATCGACACTGAGTTCGAGGAGGGGGCCCCGGATGATGACGAGCTCACTGGCTTACCTGATGCTGCTACCAGGTCGACGCTCCCTTCTCCACCCATGGATTTGTTTCGTCCCGCACCGTCTCCGAAACCTCGCTTGCCGAAAGTAAGTGATAATCCTTATTTCGGCAACAGTACTGTGAGCAACAAATTAGATTACAACAGTGAGCAGTCCTTTGCAAAGAACCAGTCGCAGTTTCAGGCCAATCAGGGTTCTGCTCCTACTAGTCCTAGTACTTACCATACGCATGACGCACCTGCACTGGCTTCCGCTAGCCGTCGTACTCGTACTGGGCGTACACATAGCAATACTAAGGTTGCATGCTCTACTCCGGAGCCAAAAGCGGTCCACGTACACCGTCAGCCCGTACATGTCGCTTTTGGTGAGGATCCCGTGTATGGAGACCCTAGGCCTAGTAGTAGTACGCACGAACTGAGTGATCAGGCGCAGGCCAGCACTAGTCGTACACGTACACCCGCAGGTCCGCATGCCCCGCACGTGCACATCGATCCTGCTGCTGAGAACCCTGAGCCTGAGGCTGAGGCTGAACACGAACAGCGTTCCGCCACCGATGTCGATGTCGATGTCGACTCGCCGTCCCAGCTGTCGATGCTCACGCAGTTGGTCACGCAAATGGCTCAAGTGCAACTCACTCAGGCCACACGGCGATTCTCTCAGAAGGTGCCACTGGCTAAACTGCGCCCTGGGGACGATGTTGAGGCATTCCTCACCAGTTTCGAACGATCCATGCGGGCGTACAGAGTTCCTCCGGACGATTGGGTCTATTTGCTAAGCCCCCAACTGACTGACAAGGCCTTGTTGGCATACACGGAACTTGCCTCCACTGAGGCTGACAGCTACGACCGCGTGAAGGAGGCCATTCTCCATCGCTATGCCGTTACCCCAGAAACGAGCCGCCGTAAATTTCGGGGCACTACGCTGCAGAGCTCGGAGTCCATGATTGACTTCGCCGTCCGTGTCCGTGACACTGGCAGTCGTTGGCTAAGCCCCGCATCCTCGCGCGAAGCCATATGTGAGTTGATCCTACTGGAACAGTTCTTGTCTGCGCTTCCTTTTGGTTTACGCACTTGGCTGCGGGAACGCAAACCGTCGTCCCTCGACCAGGCTGCTTCGCTAGCGTAGGACTATCTTGACGCACGGGATCGCGTACAGGAGCCCAGCAGTGGTCGTCTCAGCAGCGGCAGGGAACAGTCTCTTGTCTGCCACATTTGCCAGCAGCGTGGCCACATGGCCAGGGATTGTTCTAAGCGACGGGCACCATTGCCGAACACTGACGCACGTGCCCAGGTGCAGGGGTCATTTGCGTCACCCCGAGACCGGACGTCCGAGTCATCCAACCTTGCTCGAGTTCGCTGGGCTGCACCAACCTAAGGCTCAGCGCGGGACCGGCCAGTATCTTCCCCAGCTAACCCCAGTCAGACCCACTTGTCATCTGACCGCCCAGTGACTTCTCGTCCTGACCGTCCCACACCACCACCGAGACGCCCCATGTCGCAGCCGCGTTGCTATAATTGTCGTGAGCTGGGAAATATTGCTATTAAGTGTCCGAATCACACTCGCACCGCTCTGTTTTCCAGCCCAGATCAGGAAGTCCAAGATGCTGGTACAGTTCATTTGCTGCCGGATGAGGATGATCTGCTGGGTGAAGCATATTTCTGCTCACCCCTCCACCTGTAGACTCTGGTCGGTTGCCCCCGGCTAATCCCAGCGCCGCCATGGGACCAGCACCGGAGTACACCGTCGCTGGGTACGTGAATGGTACCCACGTCCCGAGCATCGTTGTTGATACCGCGTGTGGCCGCACCATGGTACACAGGACCTTGGTCCGGGACCAAGATTTGTCTGGTGAGACTACCTCCATTCGTTGTGCCCACGGTGATGTGGCCAGTTACCCCATGGCCGATCTGACCATCACCATCGACGGCATGGTGTACTATGTCAAGGCAGCAGTGTCCGAGCACCTGCCCCGTCACGTGTTGCTTGGCCGTGATGTGCCCCACATACATGAGTTGGTCCGGCTGTGTCAGCCAGCCGCCACGGACGTCTTGGTCTCTACGCGTGCACAGGCAAGGCTTCACTGAGTTGACTGGTGCTGCTGGTTTGCACGACATCTTCCCGTTCGAGGATGAACTGTTTGAGGAGTTGGCCTCGAATGCAGCGTCTTTGCGTGCACCGCCGGCGGACCTATCTAGCACACCGGAGGTGACACCGCCACCTATCTCTGCACCCGATTTGCCAGATGCCACCCGTTTCGCCGACGAGCAACGGCGTGACCCATCTCTTAGCCCATGTTGGGACTATGCTACTGGCCGACACAAGACGCCCGTCAATGGCAGTACCTTCTGTGTTCGCCAGGGCCTCCTCTACCGGGAATACTCACCGGATGGTGAAGCGGGGATGGACACCACCAGCCCCTACTACCGCCTTCAGTTGGTTCTGCCCACGGAACGGAGATCCACCATTCTGCACCTCGGCCACACCGTCCCCATGGCTGGCCACATGGGACAGGCGAAGACATCCCAGAGGATTCTTCTCCGTTTCTGGTGGCCGACGATTCTTCAAGATGTCGCACAGTATTGTTCCGCCTGTGAACCATGTCAGCGCACCGCCCGTGTTCTGCGTTATGATCGGGCACCACTTATTCCTCTTCCTGTTATTGGCGAGCCCTTCCGGGTGGTAGCTATTGACATTATCGGCCCATTGCAGCGTACTCAGTCCGGCAAGAAGTACATCCTTACCTTGGTGGATTATGCAACCCGCTATCCGGAGGCAGTCGCTCTTTCCAATATTGAGTCGACTACCGTGGCTGATGCGTTGATCTCCATCTTTTCCAGAGTAGGACTGCCAGACAAAATCCTCTCCGACCAAGGCTCCAACTTTACATCGGACGTCCTCCGACAAGTTGCTGCTTTACTCCGTATCCAGCTTACCACATCCACTCCGTACCATCAACAGACCAATGGCCTCGTCGAACGGTTCAATGGTACCCTCAAGGGTATGCTTCGTCGGTTTGCTGCTGATGCGCCACGAAGTTGGGACGAGGTGCTCCCATATGCTTTATTTGCTTATCGAGAGGTGCCTCAAGCCAGCACTGGTTTCTCACCATTTGAGCTCCTGTACGGCCGCCATGTCCGCGGCCCGCTGGATCTCGTGCGCGATGCTTGGGCTCAGCCAACGGAGGAGCTCCGGACCACTACTGCCCAGTTCGTCCTCACCATGCGGGACCGGCTTGAACGCATATCGACTGAGGCTGGCTCCCACCTTGCCACCGCGCAGCAACGGCAGAAGGCCTACTATGACCGCCTGAGTCGGGAACGCACACATTTGCTCCGGGAGACGAGGTACTGCTCTTGCTTCCGGCTTCGGCTCTTAAAATGGAAGCCGTGTGGCAAGGCCCTTACCCTATTCGGCGTGAGGTCGACAAGGTCAATTATGAGATTGACATGGGACCCCACCGGACGAAGCGATATCGGGTTTTCCACATCAACCTCCTGCGGCGGTTTCGCCGGCCCCAGCTCGCGGCCTTCACCGTTCCTATGGCGGAGGACGACCCAGACACGGAGCTGCTGCTTGACGACTGCTCCCCTCTACACGTTGATGGTGGCCGTCCTACCATTAACCCCGACCTTTCGCCGGACCAGCGGCAACAGCTCGACATGCTGCTATCGGAGTTTGAGGATACCCTCTCACCCCAGCCTGGCCAGACGACCGTGGTGGCTCACTCCATCCACACTGGCGACGCCACACCCATTCGTTCCCGGCCATATCGTCTTGCCGCTGCACACCATTCTGTTGTCCGCGATGCCGTCGACGAAATGCTGGACATGGGCGTCATACGCGCATCCCGCAGTCCGTGGTCTTCACCCGTTGTGCTTGTGCCGAAGAAGGACGACTCGATCCGCTTCTGTGTCGACTACCGTGCCCTTAATCAGGTGGCCCAGTTCGACTGTTACGCGATGCCGCGGGTGGACGAGATCCTCGACTCTGTCGGGTCTGCCCAGTTTCTCTCCACCCTTGACCTGTCCAGGGGGTATTGGCAGATCCCTCTGGCAGAGGATGCGTGTGCCAAGACGGCCTTCACCACACCGTTTGGCCTGTACGAGTTCACTATGATGCCATTCGGGCTCCATGGAGCACCTGCAACATTTCAGCGTTGCATAGATACCGTCTTGGCTGGTCTCCCGTTTGTCCTGGCGTATTTGGACGATGTCGTCATCTTCAGTCCGACTTTTGAGGACCATCTTGTCCAGCTCCACCACGTTCTTGGTCGCCTTCACGACGCTGGGCTCACTGTGAAGCCGAAGAAGTATTTATTGGGTATGGTCGAAACTCCCTTCCTTGGCCATGTGATTGGTCATGGTCGGGTGCGTGCGGACCCTGGCAAGTTGCAAGCCATCGACGATTGGCGACACCCCACGACCAAGAAGGCCCTGCGTTCCTTCCTGGGGTTGTGCGGCTACTATCGTCGCCTCATTCCTCACTTTTCAACCATCGCGGAGCCCTTGGTAGCCATGACGTCGAAGGGCCACCCCAACACCCTCCACTGGACGACCTCAGCTGCACAGGCCTTCGTTCAATTGAAAGGCCTCCTTGTCTCCGACCCGGTCATTGTTGCGCCGAACTTTGCTGCGGAGTTCTACCTGCACACGGACGCTTCCGATGTTGGTTTGGGCGCTGTCCTGACCCAGCGTGATGCCCAGGGCACCGAACACCCCGTAGCATATGCCAGTCGCAAGCTCCTCGACCGTGAACGCCGTTATGCCACCATCGAGAAGGAGTGTCTCGCCCTCAAGTGGGCCATTCTCAAATTCGCTCCGTATCTCCCCGGCAGACGCTTCACCTTGATTACCGACCACCGCCCTCTTCAATGGATCGCTCAGCATCATAGTGGCAATGCTCGGGTGGCCCGATGGGCCATTGCTCTGCAGCCGTTCGCTTTCACCGTTGTGCACCGGCCTGGTGCTCTCAATGGCAACGCCGATGCATTGTCCCGCCAGATGTGATTTTCTTCTCCTGCTGTGTTGCTCCTAGCTTCTCCATTTATTGTTTCTCTCTTTATTTAGTCATTGTCCCAGACGGTATCTCGGACCGGAGAAGGGGAATGGTGTGATGATATTGTACCTTTATATCCTTTAGTGCCGTTACATCCTATATCTATTGTTTCTCGTTTAGTCAATGTCACAGATGGTATCTGTGACCGGAGAAGGGGAATGGTGTGATGATATTGGAACTATATCATTTGGTGCCATTAAATATCCCTTTACATATACATATACAGTAACTATAACCTTCACATCCTCATATTTACACCTGTCCATGTATGACATTAGAATAGCATGCTGCGTACTACTTCTCGTACTACCGGTACCTTTCTAGTACTCACATATTGTACAACTTTACACACCAAGATAAAATAACAAGGATGACAGCCCTTCAGGGTTAGTTGTCGGTTAGCCGGACAAGAGTGGGTTGTTGGTGTGTCCTCCCCTAGGCCCTTCACAATCAGTAGAGATATTCCTTCAGTTTAATCAATGGATATAGACATACCTTTAGGCACATATCGTTGACAGAGGCACCTAGTTTGAAAGTTGTTTATCCAGTTCACTAAGCCCTTGTTTGGATCCAAAAACCCGTAAGTACGACTAGAATTTTTAACCGGAAGTGCATACTGGGATGACCAGGGAAGTCTCGTCGTACGGGTGGACGATGCCACTTCCCATTTCCAAGTACTCCAATCTCCAGCTTTCCATGTACCAGTCAAGCCTACCCACACAGCGGAAGTTCCAACCACTGTCAGGTTTGCACACGTCACCTGAGCCATTGTGTGCACAGTCGCTAGTGATCCGCCATATGATTGACATTCTGCTTTTGCTTCTGTCCAAGTTTTCCGTTCACATTGAAAGGTCCAATCGACTTGCCACGTGCGAGCACTGGTTAGAGGACAGGCATCCCATTTCACTACACAGAATAACAAATTATGCAGAAGCAAGCACAAGTATATGTATATGGGAGCAGTGTAAATAGAAAAAGGAGCGAAATGAAGGTTGGAAGAAGTTCGGATGATGATGGTGGTGAGCGCAGGGGTGGAGAGGGAGTGTTCGGTTGATTGTGAACATTGTACAGATTCCGATATTATTGTGGATCCCGGGAAGTATTTAATGAATTTGTGAGAAACCCAAGGTACTGTGATGTATACAAGTATTGTGTTTTTGTGTATGCTACTTGTGCTTGTACACTCAATGGTGTAGTCCCTAATTTGCGTAACCCAGGTTATGCATTCAGAAGAAGAACTTTTCCGCACTCAACGTTCTCACTTTAAAAACTACTGCCTTACACTCTTTTACCTCCCTGAAACGGGATTTTGATCGCGTGTTGTTTATAGTGGTGAATACAACAGACATCTCCATATACTGTACTCGCGCAAATAGTGCCGTCTCTTGGATAGTTCACTCTTTCTCAAGTTATGCCCCAATCTCTAAGAGACAGTGAAAACACCAAGCTCCCTCTCTCTCTCTTGATTAGTATAATCCCCTCCCTCCCCTCAAACCCTCCCCCCGTAGTTCAGGATCAAAATCTCAGCTCTCGTTGTCGTATCGGTGAATCGTAGTAGCCAAGTGACTACATGCAATGGAAAGTCACAGAGCAAAGCTGCATGCATACCCACGTATTCTCAAAACACCGCACAAGGATGATTGGGGTACACCAGTGTGCTGGTTTCGATCAACTGGTGAAGCGATTGGCGTTGCAAACAGCCAAAGTGATCGCTCACAACTCAGCCGCAGCAGTACCCACGACCGGGTGCAAAGTTCGCTGATCGACGTTGCAAACAGCCAACCAGGGTGAAGCAATTGGCGTTGCAAATGGCCAAAGCAATCGCTCATGCTTGAGCGGCAATAGTACCCGCGACCGGGTGCAATGACTACTGATTGGCGTCGCAAACAGCCGACCAATAGTATGCCATTTTAAGCAGAGATAGTGGCAGCAAAGCAACCAGTTGAAGGAAGCTGTTCCCAGAAAACCAGCACACGGCACCCCAGCAAGCGTTCACCTGTATGTCAAGCTATATTACATCGGCTGGAATGGCAGCACTGCTCAGTCTGGTTGTGCTTGAGCAGCCGGGGCGAGACGCCGAAATTCCTCCATGCGAAACGAGACAGCGAATCGGCAATGCAGTTCGACTGGCCAGCAATGTGAACAGCCGCGACGGTGAAATTGAAGCGGGCGCACACAAAGAACTGCTCCCTGGTCAGGGTCATCACTGGCGGTGACTTGGATGTGCCGGAGCGGATGCAATCTACCACCGCCTTGATGTCACAGTGCATTGTGATACGAAGCTGGCGCCATTCCTTGCCCCACGTGCAGCACGCTGTGACCAACGCGTAGAGCTCCTTTCACTCAATGCTGTGAGCGAGTTGCTCAGGCGACCAGGTCCCTTGAAGCCAGCGGCCGCCGTTGAATGTGCCCCAGCCCAGGGTGCCACTGGCATCAGTGAACAGCTCCAAGTCTGGAGATGGCGTCCAATCTGGGAACAGGAAGAATGATTTCCGTTCCATTGTTCCAGGAGCCGTAGCCACCATTGGATATCCTCCTGGCACTCGGTAGTCAGACTGATGCGGTAGTGAGGCTGCTGGTAGCGACTGCAAATAGACCACAGGCGCCGCATAAATGTCCGGCCGGGTACGATGACTCTTGCAGCGAAGGAGAGTTTCCCCAGAAGAGATTCGAGTTCGCGTTGAGACATGGTGGGGTTGATGCTCGCTGCAGTCAACAGGCACTTGATGTCAGCCAATTTGTCATCAGGGAGCAGAAATGGCAGAGCGAAACTGGGTGTCGTACGACAGCCAAGCTTCCGGATAGTATTGCCTGTTGGCAGCAACAATGGTGGCTTGGTATGAGAGCATCTCCTGCAGGCGAGACGGGTTGGCAGAACACACGACGTTCATGAAGAGAGACCATGCCTCCAGCCATGTCGGCAAGTCGTGGACGCGTCGACGAACGGGCTGGGCAGCTCCACCTTCCACCACCTCCAGAGACTCAGTGGCCGCCACTGCTGAACTGCAGCTGAAGCTGGCGTGGGGCAGAATACGAGGTGGCGATAGTATCGGGCAGCAGCTGGGTGAATCCCAGTCCGGGGGCAGTGATAGTGGCCAGCATTGGAGCGATCGCCTCCGACAAGGCAACGGTGACGGCGGCCCTGAATGCACTTCCTGCCGCACAAACTGGCGCAAATCGTCATTCCTGCTCTGGTCCGGGATCTGGGGAGTCGGAGAAGCTGCTGCAACACTCTCCAGATCCTGCTCTTGCTCATGTTCCTGCCGCAAGGATGGCGTGGCCGACGGAGATCGAGGTTCCACTTGCCGCCGAGCTCGACGTGTCCTGGATACTGAGCAGCAAACCGGCAAGAAGCTGGGGCTTTGTTCCGCTCGAATTCAGCCCACGGCCTTCCAGCTCGGCACGCAAGTCCGATACGTTCATACGCCGTGCTTCAGAGGTAGACAACATGTTTGGCGTGCAGTATTTGGCTGCGAGGAATCTACAAGGACTAGGAGTCTGAATAAATAATTCTTTTCTCCTCAAACAAATTCCGGTTGCTGCTCAGTGACACTGCAAAGGAAAGCGCAAGTCAAAGTCAGCACAGCAAGAGCTACCCAAGGCGATTTGGGCGCGCCTGCGCAGCAGTTGAGTGCACGTGTAAAGCAAGCTCAGTCGCAGCTAGCACGAGATAGAAAGCAGCGCATCGGTCTTATCACTAACTAGGGTTAGCCCAAAAGCTAACCCAACATTTTGAAATAAAAAATGACAGTTTTCGCACAGTCTGACACAAAGCGACAAACTATTACTTAGTGGCTTTTGTGGCGGAGCACAATGCAACGGAACTAAAGATGTTGACACCGACTTGAGCATGTCAACGACATCAGTTCAAAGGCATGACCCAAGTTCTTCCTGGAAAGCAACACGATGCGCTGGGCGGCGTTGCACTTGCATACTCTTTCGATTCTGGCAGTGACAGTTTCGATCGTCGCCTGCGTTTCCCAGACTGCGTCAGACGCCTCATGAGAGCTGAACGCAAGTAAAGTCGTAAGGCAGCCGGTTCCCCGCCTAAATGATTATGTACTAGCCCACAACTTGTGCCTCTTCGCTACTGGAGACGACGGGCACGATTCAGCTTTGCTGTCGACATCAACATCAATGAGATACCAACAAATTGTCAGCGTCGCTCTGCAGACCCGCCGCCACGGACTTGCAGACACCTGAACAAACCTGGGCCATGCACAGCGATCGTCTGGCCATGCGAGCTGCTCTTGTATCACTAGATGCGGACATTGTCAGTCTTTGCTCGCCAGCTACTTGAAGTAGAACGCCAAACAAGTGTTTGAACAAAATTTGAGAAGATGATCGCCACATCATGAATCATTTGAATGTAGTGCAGAGTGAACGCGCTCCAAAAAAACATTTTTTTCATTTCGTCATTTCCCAACTTTTTATGAAACCCCAAAGACATGTTTTAGCTGATCGCGGCCCATATTATAGATTCTTTCCTGAGAAGGAAATAGAATGAAATGATAAAAGAAAAGAAAGAAGAAATTGCAACCGTTAGCGCAAGGACATCCGCACGTTCATTTTCTAGAAGTTACCGTACGCTTATCCCTGTGTTCGCCCTATACCGGGGTTCTAACTTTTTCTCCTATTGTCCAATTTCGTCAGCACTGCCCACCGGACTTAGAATAGAGAGTCTGCCATCTGTCACTGCGCTCTTCAAGCTCCTAGCACTGTCGGAGCCGCTTCTCCACGTGGTCCATCAACCTATCGCCTTCAAATCCGTACCGAATTCCTTTGGCGATAAAGCTGACTTCCAAATTAGTTTGTTCCTCTGCCATGCTCGCTTCGGACCTGGCGTAGTCGTCAAATGTTGTGAACCCTTCTTATTCTCTAAATTGTCAGGAACGAACGACCACACGGCATGAGGACAACTATCTACTCTTCAACAGTATTTTTCACTTCG